GAGTTGTGAAATGATCTCCTGTCTCAGCAAATCTTCTCGAAACAAACAGTATTTTAGTCCAATTTACAGACACAGTTTGCTGCTATTACACAGCAGGTCTAAAGTTTTACTGCTGGATGGCTTCAGGTTTTGGCACTTTAATATCCCATAAGTGAAACATGCACAGAATTAATTAACACCAGACCATCCCTATTACCAATAAATTAACGTGGTATTACACGACTTATCATAGATATAACAATTCAGATTGTAAACTCATTATGATGCAGTTTTGCATCCATGGATTAAGTAAAATAATAGTTTGTTAAATGCATCAGTGATGTGAGATACCGTCACATTAACATTTCTTCAAAGTCTAAACTGGACAGGCTGTTGTTTTAATGTAAAGACAGAAAAAGGATGGAAATAATGCCATTTATTGCTCATGATTAGATGATAAAACAGTATTTCCAAAACCTGTAACTATGAACAATACCTTTTGTGAGGTAGATATAAGACAGCAAATAACTTATTTAAAATTGTATGGCTGTACTTAGATCTATGGACGTTTAATTTCTAGACATTCTTTTTCATGCAGATATTTTGACTTGCTAACTGAGCACAAGCGCAGATCGATAACTTGGCCCCATTACATCCACATACCGAGTGGAAACATCTGCCGTGAGAAATGTCTGTGGGCTTTCTGCCAATGGAAGGCTGGACTGTACAACTTCAGGCATTAATCAGTATGTCTAAAGATAACTGAATGATCAAAAACAACAAACAAACCCTGACACAACAATGCTATTATCAAAGAAAATGAAAAAAATATATATTTTTGTCAGTGTCACGCAGAAAATGATGATGAATGCCCATTATTTTACTAGCATAAACATGGAGATATATATTTATGCACTACCAGCTCCTCTCTCCTGCTCCAAGAATGTACAAATACATACAGCTCAAAATTCAGCTAACAAAACTTTAAATAACAAAACAAAATCCCTGATGACATTAACACCATTCTATTCTTAAGCATATAGTACTCAGCAGGATTCAGAATTAACAGTCTGAGCACACCAAGATACAGACTCAAGACTGATTTTACTTTTCATGTGTCTCAGGTCATATTATTGCTCCACAGCAGAAGCAGAAATATACAACCCCCATAGCTTCTTTCTCATTAACAATAAAAACTAATAAGCTGGTTTTTCATGAAACTTGGTAGAGAGGTGGAGGAACGACGGGAACCCCCCCACCACCACCACATTTTATTCAAAGGGGACCCATTATGCTTTTCTTGCACCTCCATATTTGTATTCTAAGACTCTAATAGCTCTAATAGTCCAACTCTTTAGTCTAACTTTCCTCTGCCCAGCAGGTGGAGCAGGTGGGTGGGGTTTCAGTGCTTACTGTGAGAGTTGTGTGACTGAGATAATTAGGGATTTCCCCTCTCTTCGACATCATAGAGAGTCACAACAAGAAAAAAAAAAGTCTCAAATTGTGAATTTGAGCAGTCTGCAACCTGAACATCTGGCTCACAGGAATAATTATACATAAACTGATCTTCTTGGATCTTTGGCGGTCTTTAAATGAGCATCTGCACATGTAACAGTACATCTATGAGAGAAAAAGCACAGCAGGTCCCCATTATGTTTAGTTTGTGAGCACATAGTATCATCTGTCTCTTCTCCTGTGCTAATTCTTTTTAGTTTTAGATCTTTTGTTAACTCCTGGCATCAAAACCGTGGCTAGAATCACAACTATTGGATATAAAGTCTAAAAGGTGTGAATACCTACCCTTTTAAATCAAATTAGTTTGTCTTAAAAACAATGTATTAGAAATTGTACACGGACCGCTAGCTTTTAAATCAGGTCCAGTATCATTTTCATCTTAATAAGGATCAGTAGTTTCTTCTTCTCCACTGCCTGGAGCAAATTTAGCTTCACACCTTTGCCATTGCAGTGCACTGCAATTCATACGTTAAAAAGCAAGAATAGTTAATACATTACTTTCAATTAGTGCACCTGTTTTAAGGTGGACCCTTGAGTTATCAAACCTGAGACAAAGGCTCAATACTGTTAGTTAAAGAACAATTTGCAGCCAAGGACATACGAGCAGAAACAAGGACACAGTCAGTCTTAAACACAACATCAAGCAACTGAGGCAGCATTATTCAGTGCAGACACTCGGAAAAAGGAATCACACTGCCACTGCAATCACCTGAACAAACGGCTAAGAAAGCTGCCTTTTTACATTAAAGCTTATGCATACAAACCTTTATTTTAGTGTAGACTCGACAGAGACACAGAGGCATTCCAGTTCAAGAGTGCTGCTATAAAAGCACACAAAGCATCTATGAAATGCATGTCACTATTTTTCATTTACACTATCAGTTAATAAGGCAAATAAGTATTTGTGACATAGGTTACTATAAAAGCAGGCTGGGGAGAATCCACACTTGATATGAGTGTAACACTGCTTACTTATGTGAAATCATCATCAGTGAATGCTTGCAAAACAGAAACTACCTTGGTATTATAACAAACGGCTTGACATTGGCCACACATCCACACTTGCAGGTTTCTTTTTCCTCTCTCTTTTTGCTATCTTCACACTGATGTCTCTCTTTCTCGCCTGACTCTTCTCTCAGTCTTTGTGCTGTCACCCAACAGGTCGGTGTAACACTGAAGCAGGGTTCAGTTATCTATATCACCTATCCACCCATATCAATTGCATTATTCAAGCTGAGTATCAGGCTTGTACTGCTGGCGGTCGACATAAGCAGTCCTTTTCACTTTTTTTCTTACCTTTTTAAATTCATTTTTATTATTATTTACGTCTCTTTGAAGAGAGATCTGGCCACGAAGGCAGCTGAAATAGCAACATATGCAACATCACAGGTTTATCAAGGTATTTTAAGTAGCCATAAAAGACTGGATTGATTATAATGTAGGTGCAAACTTTAGTCATGGAGATACTTGCAAAGCAGGTCATTTCTTTATTTTATATATAACCCTTAATAATAATAATAATAATAATTCATTTTACAAATATAAGCAAAGAAATGACATATAAAATAGTTTCTGGCACAACATCATCTCCAATAGATAGTTTCCCTGAATATGTAGCATTAGAGGAAAATGAAAAATAATACAAAAATACGTTATTGTTCCGGCTATTAGTAAAGTTATTTTTAGGGGTGCTAAGATGAAATTTAGGGATGCTTGAGAACCTCTGAAAAGGGTCTAAACTCACCAATGTCCACCACAGACACAGTTTCCAGTATGGTGTCTTACTATTATAAATAAATTCAGTGTATCCAGGTCCGAGTTGTGAAATGATCTCCTGTCTCAGCAAATCTTCTCGAAACAAACAGTATTTTAGTCCAATTTACAGACACAGTTTGCTGCTATTACACAGCAGGTCTAAAGTTTTACTGCTGGATGGCTTCAGGTTTTGGCACTTTAATATCCCATAAGTGAAACATGCACAGAATTAATTAACACCAGACCATCCCTATTACCAATAAATTAACGTGGTATTACACGACTTATCATAGATATAACAATTCAGATTGTAAACTCATTATGATGCAGTTTTGCATCCATGGATTAAGTAAAATAATAGTTTGTTAAATGCATCAGTGATGTGAGATACCGTCACATTAACATTTCTTCAAAGTCTAAACTGGACAGGCTGTTGTTTTAATGTAAAGACAGAAAAAGGATGGAAATAATGCCATTTATTGCTCATGATTAGATGATAAAACAGTATTTCCAAAACCTGTAACTATGAACAATACCTTTTGTGAGGTAGATATAAGACAGCAAATAACTTATTTAAAATTGTATGGCTGTACTTAGATCTATGGACGTTTAATTTCTAGACATTCTTTTTCATGCAGATATTTTGACTTGCTAACTGAGCACAAGCGCAGATCGATAACTTGGCCCCATTACATCCACATACCGAGTGGAAACATCTGCCGTGAGAAATGTCTGTGGGCTTTCTGCCAATGGAAGGCTGGACTGTACAACTTCAGGCATTAATCAGTATGTCTAAAGATAACTGAATGATCAAAAACAACAAACAAACCCTGACACAACAATGCTATTATCAAAGAAAATGAAAAAAATATATATTTTTGTCAGTGTCACGCAGAAAATGATGATGAATGCCCATTATTTTACTAGCATAAACATGGAGATATATATTTATGCACTACCAGCTCCTCTCTCCTGCTCCAAGAATGTACAAATACATACAGCTCAAAATTCAGCTAACAAAACTTTAAATAACAAAACAAAATCCCTGATGACATTAACACCATTCTATTCTTAAGCATATAGTACTCAGCAGGATTCAGAATTAACAGTCTGAGCACACCAAGATACAGACTCAAGACTGATTTTACTTTTCATGTGTCTCAGGTCATATTATTGCTCCACAGCAGAAGCAGAAATATACAATCCCCATAGCTTCTTTCTCATTAACAATAAAAACTAATAAGCTGGTTTTTCATGAAACTTGGTAGAGAGGTGGAGGAACGACGGGAACCCCCCCACCACCACCACATTTTATTCAAAGGGGACCCATTATGCTTTTCTTGCACCTCCATATTTGTATTCTAAGACTCTAATAGCTCTAATAGTCCAACTCTTTAGTCTAACTTTCCTCTGCCCAGCAGGTGGAGCAGGTGGGTGGGGTTTCAGTGCTTACTGTGAGAGTTGTGTGACTGAGATAATTAGGGATTTCCCCTCTCTTCGACATCATAGAGAGTCACAACAAGAAAAAAAAAAGTCTCAAATTGTGAATTTGAGCAGTCTGCAACCTGAACATCTGGCTCACAGGAATAATTATACATAAACTGATCTTCTTGGATCTTTGGCGGTCTTTAAATGAGCATCTGCACATGTAACAGTACATCTATGAGAGAAAAAGCACAGCAGGTCCCCATTATGTTTAGTTTGTGAGCACATAGTATCATCTGTCTCTTCTCCTGTGCTAATTCTTTTTAGTTTTAGATCTTTTGTTAACTCCTGGCATCAAAACCGTGGCTAGAATCACAACTATTGGATATAAAGTCTAAAAGGTGTGAATACCTCTTCAGTTTCATTAGGCACCTTACCCTGACCTGTCATTGCACATTCACTTTAGAAAATCTAGCAATAAATAACACTTTCACCTTGCTGAGTGTTCAAAACATTTAAATTCGCCACATTGCCCCGTTTACAACCATAACAAAGAATACAAAAAAAGATTTTTCTTAAAGCAAATACATTCAGTGCCCGTGGTGTCCTGAGGAGGTCGATGGTGGCTGCAGTTTCTCAGACTGGCGATCTTTGGTTTCAGTGTCTGATGATGAATCTGAGTCCTGAGCCTGTTGTTGCTTCAACCACATGTCTGCATACAAACCTCCTTTTTGTAGCAATTCCTCGTGTCTAGGATGGAGAAAAGATTGATATTTGATTGTTTATTGGTTTGCTGGTCTGTAGCATTCAGGTGAGCGCTAACACAAGGCCCACGGAGGAAGGACATCAGCAATCATCTTAAAGAAGCAGCTGCTGCTGCCAAGCAGTGTTTATAGGGATATTTCCAAACAACTTGAAAACCATCATTCTACAGTGGAAAACCTTCAAAACAGCTGCCCATTCATGCAAGGAGTGGACGTCGCAGTATATTCACTCTAACGTAAGACCGTGCAATGCTTAGAGAAACCACAAAAAA